CTTCCTGTCAAAAATGTCTCAAATGGTGCCTTGCCCATCTTCTGATAAGAGGCCTGAAAGATTGCAGAGCTGAGATGGGAGAGTCTACTAGTGGTACCTGTAAGAGCTCATTAGCGAAGAGGGAAAGGCTGTATAATTTCTTAAGGCAACTTGGGCATTGTCTATTTGCCATTGGTTTAACCCATTCAGATGTTAGTTGTTTTTCAAAGTACTCAGGGAAGGGAACCACTCTTTCTGTAGGTTCTGATCTGGGAGAAAACTCCCTGTTCCTTTTGCATCTAGATCTTTGCTTAGCATCAGAGGGGTGCTTGACCTCCTCCTCTGGCGGTTGTTGGAGTTCTAATACAATGAGGGCTTTGGATAGTAAATACTGATAATCCTCAGCCTTAAACAGTCTATTTGGTTGCTCTGATATGGCTACGTCCTCCTCATTTTGCTCATCAGAGAAAAACTCTCCCTCTTCCCATCCCTCTGCCTCTGAGGAAGTGTCTGAGTCCCAATCTTATGCCAAACGCTCCCCTTTTCATCAGGTGGAGGGGGCCTCTTTTTGGGCTGCCTTAGCTGGCCAGGCATGAAGACCCAAAACCTGTGATCCCTGGACCTGCATTTGTCAGGCCATACCCTGTCTCAAGAGGCAGGGGAAGGGAAAGAAGCAGAGGACCGGGACCCTATGGAGACTCTGGCAGATATTCCCAAGCTCCTCCCACATAGCTTACTTAATAAATAAGATCTGGAAAAAAATTATATGGCTCAGAGGGTCTCACTGCTGCTAAATAGACTGCAAGGCATCTGCAGGGGTACTCTGGGGGCCCACAAAGGGAGAGGGAGAAAGGAAGGAAAGCAAAGCAGAATCAATCAGAGGAAGAGAAACAGAAAGTAGATGAGATAGAGCAGAGCCCATTTGCCTAGCTGCACTCCCTTCTTCTTCTTCTTCTTCTTTTTTTTAACTTTCGGCTTATATACCGCTCAAACCCTTTTTTGCAAGGGTCTCTGAGCGGTTTACATATGATTATATTTCCTGTCTAGGGCCACATTAACAGGGGAGGTGACTACCTACCAACACCCAAGTAGCAGAGCAGCTCATTTGTTGTTGTTGTTGTTGTTGTTGTTGTTGTATTCCGGCAGGCTTCGGGTATAGTTGTTGTTCCAGCGTTCTCTTCTCTGGTGCCTTGGAGCTGGTGTTCAGCGGCTTCTTTCCGGTGGCTTCCCCCTAGAGCGCAGCCATGCGCTGGCTGCAGCCTCGGCTCTGTCCGAACTGGCTCTGCCGCGCCGCGCTGCATGTCACCGTGCCTTCATAGCTCCACCTCCGTCCAGGTTCCGCATGCTCACTGGGTCGCCAGGCTGTCCCGCCGTCGCTGTTCGCCGTTGCCGCCGTTACTGCCGTTGCCGCCTGCTACACGCCTCCCAACAAGGAGGAGGGTGCCCCCTGCCACCTAGGGCAGGTACCCACTTTGTCTACTCGCAAGTATGCTTTCGAGCCGCTGGGTGGGCGGGACCTGGGACTAGGGCCGGGAGCTCACCCTGGACGTGGCGGGTCTCTCGCTAGATGTTATAGCAGGTGTTTTACTCCCTGCGCCACCGCTCCCTGAAACAAGCTGGAGATGGTGACTCCCACGTGGGTGAAGCCAGGAAGCTGAAAATTAATTCATGCCTCCCTTGATTGTATGGTGGGAATCATTCTATCAAGATGTCCTCCACCTCAGAGGGGAGAACAGTGAAAGGGTAAAAGCACTGGGGCATTTGACAAAGGATATGAGAAGAATATGACTAGCAAAAGGGCACAGAGAAGTACATGCATTTTGCACAGGACAAAAGGAAGCACAATTTATTTAGGGATATAAACAGAAAAAAGGAGAGGAAGGTTGGAATACTATAGAATAAGATGGTGAGATATGACAGTGAGAAAGTGTAAAAAAAATTATCTCTTTATTAAACCCTTCCAAGCAACCAGTACTGGTTGCTCTGCAATTACCAAATAGCCCTTGATGGGAATAAAAGTCCCCAGATAGTTCTACTGCAGCTTTGGAAAGTGATGCTAAAAGAGACTGCCTTGTTGGCTAACCTCCAGTCACCATCAGCCAGGTAGATGACATCACCCACTCTCTCACCTCCTACACAGTTGGATCTATACTGCACAGGGTTCTCATAGCTTGCCTTCAACAAACCAATAACAGAGAAAACAATATTCTTCAGTGGAAATGAAGCCAGGAAAACATGCTGATGTGAGAACCAGAGAATACAGTGAACCACCACCCCACTGTTCCCAATGCCAACTGCACCCATGACTTGCTGAGCATGTGTGAGCCTTTGTAAATCATGCTAATATCCAACCCTCTTCTTGGAAACTAATTCTGGATTGGTTTCTGGGCCAGAATTTCTTTGAACAAGGCTTTTTGCAGAGATAAAGAGGAAGAAAGAAGTCTCCACTATCACAATCTTTATCCAAACAATATCATGTAGCAAGTAGAGTGCCATAGCATGTAAATATTCTACATAATGCTGAGGCTCTCCATGTCAGAGCTGTATGTTCTGGGAAGAGCTGTGGAAACTCTCCATGTGTTCAGAGTGATCCACTTGGCAAGCTGTTTATAATCACTGCATGGAGAACTGTCTATGAAGATACTACTTCAAATGAGGATTTGCAACCGTTCCCAAACAAATTTTTAACCTCCTCCCCAGCCCAATTTGTTTAAATCGTCTGGGCAACAAAGGGGAATAATGACAAATCAATGGATGCCATTCATTCACTGTTATTCCTCCTTCTCTTGCCAAATAGTACACATTGTTCAGGTCCAGGCAGCCATAGCTGCTGCTTCAGGGTGACTGTAGTTCCAGCCAGCAACAAGCTAGTAGTAGCGGGCCTGCCAAATGAGTGGAAGATTTCTGTCCCCTTCATCTGGTTCTTTAAACACTGTTTCTACAGTATCTAAAGTACCACATCTCAGTGCATTCTGAGAAATGTAGCCCTTGGTGTGTGTCTTACATCATCATGTTACATTTCCCAGGGTGTACTGAGATGCAGTGTTTTGGCCTTTGCAGAAACAGTATCTGAGACACTGGAGTATGGTGGAGCCAGGAGGGGACAGAATGAAGACCAAAGTGTTTAAATAAAACTCAACTTTTAGCTCAATTCCACAAACTGGGGTTATAAACTGGAATATAGCAGACATGAGAATTTCAGCTTGGGGGGTGGGGTTGCCGTGGCACTTGTATCCGAGTTTCATACCAAACTAAGAAGTTTACAAATCAAGCTTTGGATGTGTGGAGAGAAAGGAGATGGGAAGGTGAACATGCAAGCACATAAATGAACTGTGTTTATATCAGATAGGTTAATTACAGCTCATTGTGAGGTAGGTAGGAATGCAGACTATGTAACCTGAAAATGAGCTTTTATGCCATTTGAAGGTTCTCTTACGCAAAGAGAATCCTAGCAAAGCATCTTTGGGAACTGAGTAAAGCCAAAAAAGTATTATAGCATATGAAATCTTTCTAATTTAGGAACACAGTTTGGGTTGATCCAGCACAGGATTTTCATGAGCACAAACACTTCTACCCACACAGCAAGATTCTCTTGCCCCTCCCACAGCAGCCCAAACTGGGCCTCCAAGAACAGGAATTTGGGGGACATTTGAGGCTGATGTAGGCGGGAGAGCACTCCACAGTCACATTCTGCAGGCAGAAATTCTTACATCCGCAGTAATGTTGCATTGGTTCCAACCATTATGTTGCAATATATACATTCTTATACCTTTTACACATAAATAAAATCAAATTAAATTATCTTTGTATATCAGACTGTCTTGTCTAGTTGAATGACCTGCCAGAGCAAGACTTACTGTCTTGTCTAGTTGAATGACCTGCCAGAGCAAACTATTACAAGACGTTATCCTTCTTGCGCCCAATAATAAAGAAGCTAATAACAATTTTTAGAACATTATATAAGGTTTTGGGGGTTTTTTTACTGCTTCCAGGTAGCAGCCTGAGCACAGAGATGTGACTTCAGCTTCCAAGGCTGTTAGATTTTAACTTAGCACATGAGAGGAGTCATGAACCTAGAGCTTAAAATAAAGAGTACTAACGCCTGACTAAGTGAGAGTTTGTTCCCCTAACCGCTATATTTGAGGCTCCAGCACAGTTATTCAAGAGACAAGATATGTTGGGGAGGCTTTAACGTTGGACAAATTGGTGCACAGATTTGCAACAATATCTTTAGACATTTTCTAGGAAGAAGGTGAATGGAAGAAAGAAGAAATTTCCATAAGTATACTTTCCCTGGTATAAAACCAATCCTGTACAATTTGTGCCTTACTGAAGACTAACAGATTTATTATATCAGCAGCCTCTTTCCATTTGTTCTTCTTTATCCAGAGGAAGGCAGTTTATCCAAAGCAGCAGCTTGTTTAAAAACAAGTAATCCTTGCCACACTGTTTGGAACAAAATATTTCACATAATGTTTGAAGAAGGGTAAAAATTAGATAAAAACAACTTTCTTCCAAGATGGTGTGTTAAGGTAGACACAGCTTCTCAGACTAGTTGGTTAGTTTACTCTACATTCCATTTTCTCTTTGTATATTTTAATAGTTGTCCCTCATTCTATTTGAGATGTGTCATTATATTAGCACCTACCAGTTTGCAACCATTTTAGCCTTTTCCCTTGCACCCAAATATAAAGGAACTAGATGGAAAACACTAGGCAGATTTAAGAGCTATTTAAGTGTCTTTTCTTCTCTCCACACTGACACACCTGTAAAATACTTTCAGTGTAGAGAGCTGCCGAGTTTACAGAGAAAAATTTCCAGAAAACTCTCAGTGCAGCCTATGGCAACTATCAATACATCTCAAAAACACAGACCCAACAGGTTTCAATGGGCTTACCCAGTAGTAACTCTGCACAGAACTGCACTATTAGCTTCTTTTAAAATATGTATGTATACCTATACACTTAGACTGTTCAGAGAAACAGTTTCTCTAATGAACTTGAAAAAAGCCATTCACTCACTGATATTCGTCGAAAGGACTTGAATTCAAGGTATGTGAGATGATCTGATAACTCTTCAGGTTCCAAGTGATCAAAGAGAAGTGAGACTTTTCGTTTCTTGCTGGTGTTGGATTTTATACGCTGTGTGATCTTTCTAGACCAATCGCGAGCATTTCTTTTAAAAAGGGTAAAGTGATTTATTTACAAGAGTTATTTACATTCTTTTTCTAGATCAAAATCATGCAACTAATTATATATAAAAGAAGAAATCAGTGCCCATATTGTCAGTTAGAACACTAATTCTAATAGATAGCAGTAGGAGAGTAATTTTATCATTATTACCTGTCGTTCAACAACACACGTGAATCTTGTGTACCTATTTTACATGTGTAAAAAATGTGTCCAGAAATTTTACTATGCTACTGATTAATAAGGCATTACTTCCAAATTAATTAGCAGAATGTAATCCTACGTGTAGGCCAAATTTTGCACTTTCTCTCTCTCTCCCTTTCTCGGAGAGAACTGCTGGAAATCAATCTCATGGACTATTCTGCTCCAGAGTCTTTACTTAAGCAGATAAAAGCCCTGAAAATCAAGCAAAAATACATCTAACAAGAGCAGGAATTAGAATCTCCACATGGGTGCATGTGTGGGTGCATACAATGTACCTTTATATAAAGGCAACTTTAAGTGAATTTTTGCAAACTACACGTGACACTTAATAGCAATTTTTACACAATGTAACTGCAGATGCTGTAAACTGCCACAGAAGAGCAGGATGCAGTGGCTGGAAGCAGTATAACCATTTATCCTCTGGCATAATTTAACCCCCCACCCCACCTCCAAAAAACTGTAACTTTGTTCCAGAACGAAAAATTACAGCTGGAAAGGGATGATTTTTAGCCAGGGAGAAAACAGTAATGAAGATTGTCCTGCCACTGCATATTATAGCATCTATGGCTGCGTTTTATAAAACACCAAAATGCTACCAACAAACTATGAATGACTTAATGTCACCCTGATGCACACCCACTACATATCTGTTCCATTCCCATTGCAACATATACAGAATGCTGCAACCTCTTTCCCAATCTGCAGCTCCTGTAGGCTCTCACAGGGGAAACAATGCCACTGCATCGCTTAAGAGGCACTGCTGTGATCTTTTAGCTTTTAAAAGCCGTAGCTTTCAAACAGTATCAAAATGACATTTTAGCTTTTGGCTTGCAGAGTTCAAAGTCATAAACTAAAAATCTGTTTTGCTTTCAGGAAGTTCAGGATGTAATCCTGGCTTGACAAAAAATGGACAGCAGAGATAGTTTTGCTTTGACTGACCCAGGTTCCCCATATCAATGGCAGAAGTTTTCATGTTAAGCATTTTCCTAAGGCCCAGTTTACGAGTGCCCTCAGCACCATGGTTTCTTGAACAACAGCAGCTTAGGGAAAACCTAGGAAGTCATTTGTATGAAATCGTTCTTCAGT